AGGCTAAGTTAGGTGATTTGGTCAAATATGGACTGAGTCATGTTAACGACCAAGAGCAAATACAAACAATTTCTAGTTGTATTTGAGAGGTTTGAGTCTTTTATTCATTGGCGACTTTAGTATTCTGTGGAAGCATATGCAATGTGAGACATTTTATCCATGTATGCCTTTGCCATAAAAAGTCGAGCATTATCAATTAACTCGGCTTTACGTGTCCAACTATAACAGAATCTTAGTCAATTGCATTTATTTCTGCACCTAACAAGGCAAAGTTTGGATTTTGTCTAAGTGACTGGCATTTATTGCATGGTAAGAATAGTCACGCTTTATTCACATTTATGTTCGCTAAATTGTATAGCTCAATGGTATTTTTTTGTTCAATATATAACTCGAATTCTGTGGTTGACCAGAAATCGTTTAGTGGTTGGAGAGAAACAAAAACAGAAGCATGAACGAATCTTGGAAGGCTACGTATATTTTATTCTCTAATAATGCAGAAGAGGCCTTCTCTAGAGCAATAAACTCTTTGCGAGTATTAATTTTGTCCCTAATTATATATGATGAAACATAACAGAGTGGGGCACATTCGTCTGGCAAAATGAATGTACTCATCACATTTATATTCACTAGTTTTTATGCACGTGCATTGCACATGGTTAATATCATAATTATTTAGTTTTAGTTTATTTCTTTACTAAAATTTATTTTTTAATTTTAATTTGATAGTTTTTACTCATTTATATCTCTAAATTTTAATATTGTGATTACTAATCTTTATTAATGTTTGTTTGAATGGGCCACACCCAATTTTAAGTTTTATGGTAATAATTGAAATGACACAAAATCAACGTGAAGCCAATTTGAATATTCATATTATTTGGATCGACATAAAAGGAAGTTTTACCTATAGAAATATAATGTTGCAAAAGTAAAAAAAAAACTTAAAAAATAGCATTACAATAGCAAGAGGAATAATTAAAGCTAATAAGCCTAGACAACTGATTAGAAGCGACTAAAATGACACAAAAGAGAATATGAATTTTATTCCTAATTATTGATAGACTTCATTAGAAACCATAAACTAAATATTAATACTAACTATATTATAATTCTATATGATAAAACGTCTACAAAATAAGTATATATAAAAATTCGTGCAAATCTCTTCCAAATATTCCTAATTTTACTTAAAAAATTAGTCTATTCTATAAAATATTAAGAAAACTGTCTTTTATTTTTCTATTTCATTTTTAATTGAGCCGAGATTAAGGCTTTTTCACTTTTATCTTTTTCTAGGATAATTTTGGAGTGGTGTTTTCATCATCTACGTTAATTGTGACATCAGACTGGACCTGGATTTCTTGTGCTATTATCTTTCCTTGGGCTCATTTATCTTTTATCTTCTTATCTAACTTTACAAGTAATTTGAATAAGAACAAATGTTAGTTTCATATATATGATAATTTTTCTGTGTTTCTAATTCATTATTTAAGTTATGTTAGGATTGACCTTTTTTTTGCGATGAATTCTTATGTTGTGCACCTAATAAGAGTTTTTACTACGTTAAATAGTGTTACCTTTGTAATGTCCTAAGTCATCAGATATTCTACAACATTTATCATTTGAACACTCGTTATTAACATCTATATCCGCCTTCTTATTGCGGCCTTTGTAAGCATAAAGCCACAGCTCAAGTCTACTCTAACCGGTAGATATTTTAACCTTGAATATGTAGCGTATCTGTACATTGGTAAATTTTAATTAGGTTTAATTGTGTGAATTATAGAGTAGGTTTTTTAAGATCATACCTTTTTCGAATGTTGTAATGCTTGCATAATATCGCTAAGTTAAATTTTTGTTGCATTTGTGAAGAGCCTTGGTGGAGATGCTTTTATCGTGATAGCTTGTTCCGAATGAGCCCTGCATATTAGCTTAAAAGTTTAATATTTATTATTTATTGTGTTATATGGATTTTGCTTGGTTTACTTACCATTCTCTTATTTATTTAGTTAGTTGAATCTTTGGGTTGATATATATATATATATATATATATATATATTATATATATATATTATAGTAATATTAGAGAGAGAGAGATGAGAGAGAGAGTAGAAATCGTCCCCCATATCAACTTAGTTGTGTCCATCAAACTTCCTTAACCACTATTTATTAATTGTAAAACTTTTCATTCATGTAAGAATCCTAGGCAATCATGAGTGGTTTAAAAAGTTTGGTGGATAGCTTTTACTATCCACTTTAAGTTGAACACAGAATTGCCTCTCTCTTCTCTTCTCTCCTTCTCTATATGATAATATATGTATATATATAATAGGTGAAACTTCTATCAACTAGTGGATTAGCATAGTGTCAGCCAAAGTTTTTAACACTATATTGCCTTGGGCATCTCATGTTAATTATTAAAAAGTCGTTTTAATTAATATTGTGTGGCTAGGAAACTTGGGTGACATTCAACTTTAAGGTTGAAGGCAGTCTTGTTCTCTCTCTTCTCTCTATATATATATATATATTATTTACAGTATAGTATGTATTATTTATATATAGTATTATATATATATATTTATATACTATTGACAAAATAGCATGACGTACACGTCTCCCAGCAAATTTAAGATGGATATAAGATGAACTTTATGTTTAGTGGTCTTTAATAAGATATTTTGTAATGAAATATATTACTTTTATATTTAGAGATCTTGAAATCCGATAATGCTATTATAGGCTCATCTTTTATTATGTCGTAAAGAATTGATCCTTTTTTCATAGCCATGTTCTTAAATAAAGTTACACGTAGAGGTATGTCACTATATAGTAATAAGAGAAAAATTTATAGATTTTAACTTTTTTCTTAAGCTTTGATAAGTAAGTATCATGTGTATATATTTTGTCCACTATAGTGATTTCCCACCTTTTGTCTGGCTTGTTAAGTAAGTATTATGTGGATATTTTTTATCAATTATAGTGATTTTTCTCCTCTTGTCTGGTTTGTTATATCTTATAACATAGTTGATCAATAACTTCACGTTAGTTGCTATTGCAATGTCATTTATATCTAATTATATAATAAGTTATGGCTCCTTTAGTATTTTAAGGATAAAATATAAAATTTATAGGACTTATTAATATTTATTGTATCTTCTATGAAAAATACTTCTTGATTGGAAAATGTTGTTTAATATGTTCTCCAATGGGAAACCAGTTGGCGCTTCTTTGATAGATTTGTCTCTTATTAATATCAATTCAAGAGATTCATGTAAGTTTATGAAATTTGGGTTACTTTCATTCACTTTTCCATTAAAAATGAAAACAGCTAGATTATTTTGAAGGATATCTCTCAGCTTTTTAATAGTTTTGCTATACGTAACTCATTGTATTTTTTTACCCTATGAATAATATTAATTTTAAAGAATATTTTTTTATCATGTGAATATTACTAACATCAGAGAAAAATGATTATAAAATATAATTAATTAATGTTAAGCTATTATGATATAGTTTTTTTATCAATTTTAAGTAATTTAGTCTTCTATTAATTAATGCTACCTTTGTATTTTTGATACTCTAACTTATGAGTAAAATTATATACAGTTACCTTTATTTAGACAATGATATTAAATTTTGATCTATCAATATATTTTTTAAATTCCATGGTTTTTTTGTAATTTTAAACTTTTAAGGGTATTTCAACAATTATTGAAACTTTGAGGGTGTTAATTGTAAATTTTAAATTCTAGGGGGCTACTTCTAATTTTTAGATTTTATGTTTGTTATTTTAAGTTTTGAAAAGTCAGGATGTTTTGTGTAATTTTTAACTATTGAGGGTGTTTTGTGTATTTTTTTAAAAAAAATAGTTTTTTTGACAATAATTTATACATTATCTTTCTCTATCATCCCCGAGGCTTAATTATTGCGACAAAGAGCTTTTTACGGTAGAAAAAGAGGAATCTATATTCAAGTTTGATGGTAATCCCTAGAAAATCATCTGTGTTGTTCGTAAGTTTTGAGAGTGTTTTTTTATAGTTTAAAATTTTGAGGGTGTTTCTAAAATTTTTAAAATGTTGATGATGTTATTATAAATTTTAAATTCTTTAGAGGATACTGTTAATTTCCAAATTTCATGTTTGTTATTTTAAGTTTTGATATGTGATGGTGTTTTGTACAATTTTGAATATTTGAGAGTATTTTGTGCAATTTTTGAAAATTTTTGGTTTTTTTTGTTATTATAGTAATATTTTATGTAACTTATTAATCTTATTTTTTTAAATTATTGAGCTATAGGTAATTCACGTGGGATTAAGATAGGATATAATTATGATTATGATAGATTTAGATTTAAATAAAACATTTAAAAAAGTGAAGGGTAATATTAACCAATGAAAGATTTTCCTGAATTCGTGCTTTTAAAGGAAGTATATGATAAGGTCCAAAGCTGATGTGCATATTTCTTAATTCTTTGTACCGAGTTTATTCAAACTCAGTTACTGTTTTGAATTGGTTATTTATTGCGGAATTTCAGCTTACCATAAGTTGGTTATCATTTGTAGCCTTTCATCATTTCATAATGAAGACAGCTGATAATTTATGTACACCTAGTGGAAAAACTTCCATTATGATGTTGATGTTTTTTAGGTAAAAGTGCCTTTACTCCATTGTTGAAGGTGTAAGGGATCATATAGGTAATGTGATTTCATTACTGCATCAAAAGATTTCATTACTGCATCAAAACAGTTTTCCCCCCTCTCTTTTCTATATGTAAGAAAATCAAACTATCATTTTTAGATGGTTGTGTGAAAGTGCATTAGTATCTTAAGAAGCTACAAGCTAATGTATTAAAGTGTTTAACCTGTGTGCTAAATTAGTTCAGCAAGCGCGCTTCAACATCTCATGGTTGCAGACCCTCGTGCATTTAGGCACGCATATCTTGTGTTTGTCTTTGCTTGTACTGAAGCTGATGCATGCTTAAGTGTATTTGACCATATGAAGGTCGTAACAGTGTAAGGCTTAAATAAGAAAGACAAATAAAAGATCATCTACTTGAGTAGATTTTATTACCTTAGCTTATAACTATAATAAGAGCTGACTTGAAACATAATATACTTGCAGAATGTTTTTGTTCAAGTAGCTGTTGCGGTATAGGCTGATAACAAAGAGATGGTCTATCTTCATGTTTCCATCTCGTGCACATTTATCAGCCTAATTTTTTCATCCACGTCTGTCTTATAGTTTCCATATATTGTACATCTATCAGCCTAATTTTATCCAGTCACAGCTCGATTTCCAACTTTCTTTCACTAGAATGTTCAATCTCTGATCTCCCATCCAGGGAAATATATCTGTAACATTTGGCACAGGCCACAAAGATAACCAAGTCAATGGCAACTAAAATTGCTAGAAAGAAGTAGAACCTGTCCATGTGACCAATATTGAGATTATCAGATATCCAGCCCACTTTATCTCCCCTTCCTGTAATGTCCATGACCAATGTAATGAGTAAGCTACTTAGATAACTTCCCGCTGACATTGATGCTAGACACAGAGCACTGCCAAAGCTCTTCAACCCATCTGGAGCCTGACAATTGAAAAACTCCAGCTGACCCACATACATAAAAACCTCTGAAGCTCCCATCATCACGTATTGAGGGATTTGCCAAAGAATGCTAAGGGAGCTTGTGTCTTCACAATCGTCACAGCTAAGCACAGCATGTTTTATCCTCTGGGACTCAACTATTCCAGCAGCCACCATTGTGATTGTTGCAAGAACAAGTCCAATCCCCATTCTTTGAAGCTCTGTGGAATTGCCCTTGACTACCTTCGAAAAAATAGGTACTAGGTACAGTCTATATAGAAGAACACACCCTGCAACACTTAGTATCTCGAAAATTGATACGCTTGCTGGAGGGATGTTGAAGGTTGAGATGGAAGTCTTCATAGCTGCAGCTTGTTCAACAAAGACGGAAGACATCTGGGTATAGACCACCGAGTAAATTATAGAGCAGAGCCAAATAGGGAGGAGCCTTATTATACACTTGGCTTCTTCTACTTGTGTGATTGTGCATAGACTCCATGGGCTTGGAGGATGCTGATTTCCTCGTGGAGGATGGTTTTCTGATGTTATGGCTGCTGCTCTGTCCAAAAACCTTAAGAAATACAAGAGATATCATTGCCCACTATGCAGTAAAAAAGAAAATATAAGTGATTGGAATTCTTTTGAGGACATCTTTGTGTCATATTACCTGAAATCTGGAGTATGGAGTATCTTTCTACCTCCATTAATTGCATTCTTTCCCTCGATTTCATATAAATTCTCCCCATTTATTGGCATATTGACCTTCCTTTTCTTTATGGCTGCAACAAACACCTGGCAGATTCTCGATAAAGGATTTCCGCGTGGCTTGAAGTGCCTAAACTGTGGAGTCCCAGCAAGAAAGATCACCAAAGCTAAGAGTGCAGCTCCTGAAGAAAGCCAAAAACCAAGAACCCATTCTCCTTTGTCTTCGAGATAGGCTAGAATTGTGTTGGAAAAGAGGGTCCCAACGTTATTAGCTAAGTAAAAATAGCTGAAGAAGGCAATCTTTGAATGTCGTTCCAGTGGGTCTTCTTCGTCAAATTGGTCTGCTCCAAATGTAGTTATAGATGGCTGATAGGCTCCATTTCCAAGGGCAATTTGGTATATGGATAGGTAAAAGATTAGTATCTCCAGGTGGGTTGGTGGCTCACACTGTGGATTGTCGTCCCCAGGAATACAAGGTTTGAGCAGCAGAAGGTAGGATGAAAGTGATAACTCCACCAAGCCCTGTCATTTATGTAAATTATTTGTATTAATACCTTAGTTTTTCTTGATAGGTAAACCTATGTTAAAATGTAGATTTTTTTCTGGGTAAGATGGGAAAGGTTTTTTAGTTCCTCTATATTGTTAGCAGTTGCTTTACATTTTGCATTGTGATAGTTGTGGATGCAAAAATTATGAAGGACATTGAAACGGATTTCAATAACAGGGAAGGTAATGAATGTCTTAGTGAAATTTCTTAGGGGATTTTACATGCCGACAAAGTATCGTAGATGAGCTCTTACAAATTTACCAGGTAACTTCCTATTTAAGGCATGATAACCAGGGACACTTTTACATTGTACATGCAGTAACAGAGACGTTGCAGTAATGAGTATTGAAAGTTGGGAATTTGCTGAGTAGAGAAAGCGATCATTTCTTGTATAGTTGTGTTCTTTATTCCATTATGTCACAAGTAACTTCCTATTTGAAACTGTAAGAACAAGAATCTTGTGTTAATGACACCATCATCAATCAACTCCCACACATGAAAAAGGCAGCAGAATAACTATTGCTACTATCATTTAAATATTAAACATTTCTTCTTTCCAGTAGTTGGGTACCATTTGCTATAAGGATGATTTATAACTGTAATTTGTTGACTTTATTATTTGTTGAAGGAAAGGACTTTTTATCATCTTCCTTGATCCTCGTGTAATAAGAATTGTCATTTTCCTGTATTAGTGCCTTAAAGTCTTTCCTTTATTGAGGGTATTCAATTATATATTTATCATTCGAAAAGGTTTCAACATCAAAAGCGGTGTTAACTTGGATTAATAAGATTTGCTGCGAGCAATGATATACGACAAAATTTAATACGAAGGCAAGAGATTTTTACTGAATGAGCTAGCAAGCAATATAAAAGCTTACAGTGACAAAGATGATCTGAAAGAAGGCGCATGTCTTGTATCTTCCCCAATATGAATCACTAACAAAAGCGCCTACAAGGGAAAACATGTAGGCAGTTCCAGTCCAGGTGCTGACATTATTCGCTGCGTCAGCATTATCCTGCTGCAGAACCCTCGACATGAAGAGCACCAGGTTCACTCCAATACCGAAGAATGCTAAAGTTGCCAGTAATTGGTTCACTGTACCACATGAACAATAGTTAATATCATCCTATTTGAGACTAGCAGAGGTCAAATTAAAAGAGGATTTTGGTTGCCTTTTTAGCAAATTTACCAAGAAGAAGTATCCCAATCCTCCACCCTCCTGACTTTCCTCTGATCGCAGTGAGGCCCTTCGAATTGATTGATCCATCACGGGTATGTTTCTCATCTTCTTCTAGCTTAATAATGTTTTGCTGCTCATGCTGCTCTCCAACCTGAAACACCAGTATAGATGTTTCTATGTAGTCTTTGTTCAAAAAAATTTATTCAAAGATGTGTTTTATGGGTATCTATTAAATTTTAGTCAATGACGAAGTTTAGGAACAACTTTGCTTGAGAATTAGCAAGGATCAATATACTTACCAGCACAAAGTCTGCCATGGTTATCCACAAGGGAGTCTGCAGTGTAGAAGTAGAGGAAAAAGAAGATGGGAGAGAGAAAAAGATGGTTTTTATTATGAACAATGCAGGAAAATGTGATGGTGTCAGTGTACATTGTTTCCTAGGTTGTATGTTATGTTTATAGTCCTATCTCTTCCTTTTTTCCATGCAACATTCCAAATTTCGGGTAATTAATAGTGGGCAATTAATAGCAATCTAGATGTTTTTATGTATTCTTTGGTCAAAGACTTTTATTCAAAGATGACTGTTAATTGTTATGGGTATCTATTAAATTTTAGTTGATAAGAAAGATTAGGAACAATGTTGCTAGAAAATTAGCAGAGCTGCAGAGATCAATATACTTACCGGCATAGAGTCTGCCATGGTTATCCACAAGGGAGCATACAATATAGAAGAAGAAGAAGAAGAAGCAGAGAGGAGAGAGAAAAGTGTTTTATGTGAACAGTGCAAGGAAAATGTGATGGTGTCAGTAAACTTTGTTTCCTAGGTTGTATCTTCTGTTTTTAGTATAATTACGGTCCTATCTCTTCTTTTTTCTATGCAACATTCCAAATTTCTGTAATTAATACTGGGTATAGAAGAGCATGTCTGGTCTAGTTTTTAGCACTGAGAAGTATACACGTGTCCTGGATTGTTCATTGTGGAGGTTACAAGTAAATGAACTTTGTTCAGAGATGAGCACGTACCTTTCTGTTTCAAAGGGTCGGTTGGTGAATTGGAAGGATGTGCACTGTGGACAAGAGAGGATTTGGGCTTTTTGTGCTTTCTGTACAAATCACTTGTTCTTTTCTCCTATTTTGCAATGGCTCCATTAAAGAGCTCTCATAGAACAAAAGAAGAAGAAACCAGTTTCTTTTATCAGCTTTTTTGGAGTAGGGGGTGTGGTGGAACTGGGTCGGGTATAGTATTAGGATCCATCTTGCTTTTGTCAGATTAATATCTGGGTTTGAGCTCCACTTAGCTCATGATTAACATATATCTTAATACAAATTCAGTGAGGCTATTTTTTTTACACAGGAGTCGGCACCATGCTAGAGAGCTTGTTTTACTTGGAAGTTCTTAGCTTTTTGAGTGACCTGCCTCTTTGTTGTATGCAGTAGCTTGAAACCAATAACCAAACCAGATATATCTTGCTTGATCATAATTATTGCCTTTTATTGTTTTTGTGAACTTATTTTCCCCTTTTTGCGCTCCTTTGCTTTTTAAGCTGAGCTGATATGAAATTACCAACCATTTGTTAACTTAAGTTGTAAGAAGAAATAGGAACTGTTTGGATACATTACTTTTCTCTTTCTCCTGCCCTCTAATTGTGGGATCTGTTTGGAGTTCTGGTGGAAATTTAATCACCCGATGACCTTCTTAATTTATTTCATGTTAATTAGCTTTACCCATGTGCAAATGGATTTTTTTTCCCGCTCCCAAGCTTCTGTAGATGTTTCTCTGCATAAAATCAACAAACTTCGCTTTATTGATCTGTTCTCCTTGTTGATCACTTGATTGTTAACCATTTGTACAATTCATATTAATGCTTGCAATATATTAAATGATCATTGCGGAAGTGACTTTGGCATCGCATGGCTGCCAGACCCCCACCCCCACCCCACCCCCACCCCCAAATTATCCCTTATAAGCTATTGTGTCGTAGTTATATTATTCACTTATATGCAATAAATACATCATGTATTCACATAGATCTTAGAATGACGTCCTTTTATGCCTCCTTCATACTCATCTCTCTCCAAAAACTCAACCAACCTCCTGAAATAAACTAGGAGGAGCAAAAATAGCATGTATATATATATATATATATAATTATATATATATATTATATATATATATATATATATATATATATATATATATGACTTCTATAAGCAACCACACACTATAGCTACAGCACACATATCCTTCAATTAGCTATAAGACCAAAGCCTCTTCCTCACATCTCCCCTCCAACTTAATTCCCTTGTACCACTTCGCACAGACAATATACACCACAAAGTCCACACTGCTCATAGCTGCCAACAGAAAGAAGAACCTGTCAGTATGTCCCATATTAAGATTCGCTGGTATCCACCCAAACTGACCACCTTTTCCAGTGATCTTCATCACAACAGTAACAATCGCATAGCTTGCAAAGTTTCCAAATGCGATAGATGTCATGCAGAATGCACTTCCAAAGCTCTTCAGCCCATCGGGCGCCTGATCATTGAAGAACTCTAGCTGCCCGACATACATAAACACCTCAGAGGCTCCTATAAGCACATACTGAGGTATTTGCCATAATATGCTCAGAGTGCTTGTATGGCTTATAGCCTTCTTTAGCCTGAAGTGCTCAACTGCACCAGCTGAAATCATAGCTAGAACAGCTATAATTAGCCCAAACCCCATCCTCTGTAGCTCGGTGAGGCCTCTAGGGTTTTTGTTTAGTTTAGAAACAACAGGTTGTATCAGTCGTTGATAGATAAAGATGAAAATTGCAACACTGACAATGTCGAAGGCGGACATGCTGGCTGCAGGGATTCTGAAGCCACCGATATGGTTATCCATGGAAGCGCCTTGTACGACGAAAAGAGAGGCCATTTGAGTAAAAACTACTGAGTATACAATGGTGCAGAGCCAAATGGGAAGGAGTCTGAGCACGCATTTGACTTCCTCGACTTGGGTAACTGTGCAGAGCCGCCACGGGTCTCTGACCATTGACTGTGATTTCATGGTGAAGTCGTCTGTCTGTGCCATTGCGGCTCTGTCCAAGAACCTGTCGAACCAAAATCAGAATGTTAAGATTGTCTTGTGGATACACGGTAAAAGATAGGATGAGAAATTAGTGCATTTGCAGGAGATCAGAGGCTGCTCCTGTCCAGGATAAAATAAGAGGATAAATTGAGATGGTTTGGCATTATAACAGAGGCCAGCACCAATTAGGAGAATCGATAAGATTATTTAGTTAATGAAGCAGAAAGGGATAGAGGTTGACGTAGAAGAACTTCGTTAGAAGCAATTAAGAAGGACATGATAATAGTTAACTTCACATAGAAGACAACCCACAATAGAAATGCATGGTAGATTAGGACTCGCTCTTGTTGTAGTTACAGTGACTTACTTGAAACCCTGTGTGTGAAGTATCTTCCTACTTCCGCCACAGCCACTGCAAGTTCTTTCCCGTCCAGTTCATACAGGTCAACGCCAGCTGGTGACATCTTGACCGTCCATTTCCTCGCTGCAGCGACGATTACCTGGACGATCCTTGACATGGGATTGCCACATGGCCTGAAATGCCTGTACCTGCAGGTCCCTCCTAGGAACAAGATGAGAGCCAAGAAGGCGGACCCCGCGGATGCCCAGAAGCCCAAGGCCCACATACTCTGGTCCTCAATGTAGCATAGGAAAGTGTTTGAGAAGAGAGAGCCTATGTTGAGGGCCAAGTAGAAGTAACTGAAGAAGGTGACTTTAGAATGCGCCTCTTTAGGGTCATCTTCCTCAAACTGATCAGACCCAAATGTTGCAATACTGGGCTGGTATCCTCCATTTCCAAGGGCAACAAGGTAAATCGAGAAATAAAAAAGCCCAATCTCCATGTCAGTGTGGGGTCTACATGGGTTGAGCTCACCACCACAACCAGAGGGGTTCAATAGAAACAGTTGTGAGGAGAGTGAGAGCATCACCAGGCCCTGAAAGCAAGAGAAACTAGAACGCAAATGAACCCCTGAGGGGAATGCTTTTCTGACTCTTTTACCCTCGAATAAGAGAAAATTGTTTTTTGATAAATAGACTTTAAAAAAACTCAGGGGGTCTATCCGCAACAACAGAACTACCGGGGGCCTATCCACAATTAACCTTAGCTTCAAAGTGAAAATTGAATGGGGATCTTGTGTAAGTCCACTTACCAGCACGAAAATGACCTGGAATATTGCACAGGTCTTGTATCTCCCCCAGTAGGAGTCACTAAGGAAGGCACCAAAGAGAGAGAACATATAGACAGTGCCTGTCCATTTGCTTACATTATTTGCTGCATCGGCATTGCTTTGTTCAAGAACCCTTGTTAGGAATAGCACCAGGTTCACATTCACACCGAAAAATGCTAATGTAGCAAAACCTTGATTCACTGTATTTGAGTATGGATACTTTCATTAGAAACTAAGACATATATGTGCATAGATATATGTATATGTACTTAAAATATACATGCATGCATCTTTCCATAAAGCTACATGGAATTCAAAGGAATATGTGATGTTTGGTATAGTTTTGCCTATGATGGTAACATAAGAGGAGTACGCATGCACCAAATGAAATGCATCTACTTGCTCAATTGGCCTCCATGCTTGGATCGAAGTAAGAGTACCTTTCTTTTATTGATGTATTATTTGATTCAATTTAAGAAATTGAATCATTGAGTATCATAGTAGAACATGACATTTCATTTTATGTTACTATATAATTGATATTCAATGAAAAGCAATATCAAACCTGGCAAAATTGGACATTGGTGGATTGGGATTTGGGTTTCCAGGAACATGCAGATTCTAAGACACGTGCACAAGGCAACATGATATATGGCAATTGTGATTCAGTTTAAGAAATGGAATCATTGAGTATCATACTAGAACATGATATTTCATTTTATGTTACTATGTAATTTATATTCAATGAAAAACAATACCGAACCGGGCAAAATTGAACATGGGATTTTGATATTTCAGAAACATGCAGATTCTAGGTATGTGGCAGAGACTTGTTGATATAGAAGGTAAGATATGGCATCATAATTGCCATCTTTCTGGTAGTTCTACTTGCACTGCTCCATCAGGAAAAATATGCTGCTTATGGGGAATGTTACTTCTCAAGGGCTGGGTACCTACACTCGATAAAAATGCCTATAGAAGTGTTTGATCGTTACTGAGCAAATGTTTGTTCAGTTTTATGTCAATGAATTAACTAAAGTATGTGCATTTGTTTTACTTTTGACCCTGTTTGGGATGCATTATAAACTAGTTGTCTACTTCTTTATTTATCCACTAGTTGGTTGATTAGAGAAAATTTTGCCCACATGGGGAAAAAGGAATAGTATCTTTATAAATCGCTTACCTATTTGATTCAGTAAAATGTTTCTGTTTTCAATTCCTCTTGGTGTTCAAAGGTGCTGAATGCTCTAAACTTTAATCAAATTGATGGATTAAGCTTCTAGGAACAATGAAATGTAAATCAAATGTCACCTGCATTATTTAATGCTACTCTACTGACCCATGACAATGCACGTTTATTTTGGCTAATGGTTTCTAGATTTTCCTACATAATGAGCTTTACATTCTCAGGTAATTCTAATTTCAGTTCTTATCAACTAGGCTTTTAGACTTTTCTCTTTTCATGAAATTTCTT